CAAGGGGAAAAAATGAGTATCAAGACCTGTCATGTACAGGTACAAGATCCCAATAATGAATGTAACTGTATTGTATACCTAGATTGTACCAATAAACTCATTAAAAAAAAATAGTGCTGGAGCTGGGCGTGGTGGCGCATGCCCATAATCTCAGCACTCGGGAGGCTGAGGCAGGAGGATCACTGTGAGTTTGAGACCAGCCTGGGCTACATAGTGAGTTCCAGGTCAGTCTCAGCTACATAGTGAGACCCTGTCTTAAAAAAAAAAAAGGTGCTGGGAAAACTGGCTAACCATATGCCAAAGATTGAACCTAGACCCATATCTCTCATTATCTATTAATACACTCATGAAGTGGCCATAATTCATATGCCTCACTGAAGGGCAGCTCTGATTTGAATGTGTTATGTTCCTGCCCGGTTAAGCCACCCATGGTACATGCACAACTGTTCCATGAAGTGGCCCGGGACAGTCCCTTTGGGTGGTACAAAACTCTCACCAGGACAATAATGCATGTAGCACTGGTGGCGCAGGCCAGTGGAAATGTGTTAAACTACAGTCAACATGAATCAGAGAGCTAAATATTAAAATGAAACAATCTCTGGAAAACAAAATAGGTAAATTTTTTTTTTTTGGTTTTTTGAGACAGGGTCTCAGTATGTAGTTGAGACTGAAGTTACCCTTCTTCATCCTTGGAGGGTTTGTAAACTGGTACAACTACTAAGGAAATCAGTATGGAGATTCCTCAAAACACTAAAATGGAAATTCCACTTGACCCAGCTATTCCCCTTCTAGGTATCTTCTCGAAAGAGTTAAAGACATCCTATTACAGAGATACGTGCGTACCCAAGTTTAAGGCTAAATCTTGGAAATGGCCTGTGTGCCTATCCACAGATGAATGAAGAAAATGTGGTGTTTATACACAATGGGGTACTACTGTGCCACGAAGAAGAGCCAACTTGAGTCATTTATAGGAAAATGGGTGCACTTTGAGCCCATAATAGTAAGTGAAGTAAATCAGGCATGTAAGCATAAATATTGCATAGGTTCTCTTATAGGGACATTCAACATATAAATAAAGAGCAAAGTAAAAAAACAGACAATAGGAAAAAATATAGAGGGGGAAAAAAGGTTATTCTAATCCAGCATGGCCAATGTGTCTAAAAGTGTACCTTGATTTACTATAATTGTCTTACATGCTTTTTATATGTTTTTGACTTGTTAGTCTGTGTTTATGATAGTTATTATTATTATTATTTTTTGGTACCGGGGATCAAACTCGGGCCCTTGTGCTTGCAAGACAGGCAGCAGAACCACTGAGCCAAATCCCCGGCCCAATGATAATTAATTTGATAAGGATTATAAAATAATTAAATGAATCTGATGCTGGTAACCACCCCCCCACAAAACCCCAAACTAAACAAAATAAAACAAAAATGGGGTGGAGGGGACGGGGGGGGGAGAAGAAAAATAATTGAGATGTGTTATATACATGTACCAACACCCTACAAAGAATGGAATCATTATGTACTGTAAACATGTACTAATAAAAAATAAAAATTATGAAAAAGTGAGGGAAAGTGTTTTGAGGGTGACTAATGTCAGTTTGTCTTTTACTGTAATATTTTTTTATTACACATATTTCCCTCACATCTAGTTTCTTGATTTGTGGACTACAACTATTGATAGCTCAAGGATAATGTATTTAAAGATCAGCGAGGGCCAGGGATTTAGCTCCGTGGTGCCACCGCCTGCCTCATAAGCACAGGGTCCAGAGTTCGACCCCTGGTACCAAAAAAAAAAAAATTTCAGTGCGTTTACACATTTGATAAGACTTCCTGAGGACATGTGGGGTAGGAGTTGATGGACAATTGAAATGTGTTGCTTGGGTGGAGGAGTTGAAGGGAGGGCAGGGGAATGGGGAAAAAATAAGAAAACCAAGATACATCATGTAAAGGTACAAGTTCCCAATGATAAATGTAAATGTACTGTACACCTGAAATGTACTGATAAAATAATTTAAGGAAAAAAAAATACAATATGTTACTTAAGAATAATGAGATTTAGCTCAGTGGCGCTGCACCTGCCTGGCAAGCGCAAGGTCCTGAGTTCGATCTCTGATCCCCCCCCAAAAAAGAATAATGAGATCATAAATTTTATAAACTTATTAAAAGTAAATGGACTACAATTGGAGAAGTGTTGGATAGCGGTAGGATATTTAATGGGTACCCTACTCAACCTAGGTAGGGAGAAGATTCTGAGCTAAGTTCTTGCCAGCAGATAGTGTAAACAAAGGCTGAAAGTTAAATAAACATCACGGGGTGAGGGCATTTTTAGTATTTAGTTTTAGTATTGCTGGAGCGTCACATTTAAAGTGGGAGGCAAGGAGTAATGATAGAGGAGAGGCAGGCCCACGATTTGCAAATCAGTGACCTCCATGTGATGGAGGGGTGCCTTTCCTCATGCAAATCACGCTGTAGTGAACCACTGTTTCCGAGGAAATGAGAATCTCTGCAGTTGGCCGCAGTAGCAGAACATTTGAAAGTCCTGCCAAGGCTACTTTGAAGCAGGACAGTAACAGGCTAGGTCTGCATGTTAGATCAAGAGCAGCTTTGTGGGGAATGGCTGGGGGGAGCAGCTACAGAGCTGAAGAAGAGTGGGTTGGAGGCTATTGCTCAGGCATTACCTTTGGAGCCTCACCTAAGGCGGAAGAAATAGGGATGCAGTGAAGGGAGACAGATTTGAAAAGCGTCCTACAATGAGAAGGGCTAGATCTGGTCATTGGTGGATGTAAAGAATAAGGAAGAAGGATGGCTCCTGATTCTCTCGCTTCTGAGATTGAGTAGCTGGCGGTATCAGCAACTAAGATACAGAAGTACAGGAAAGAAGTCTAGGCTGGGGACAGTTATGAGTTACATCAGTACGTAGGTGGCATCTGAAACAGGAAGGGTAGGCTGACATAGCACAGAGAATACCCAACCCGTTCCTTGGCCTACTAGGGAGATCTCCAACATGCTGCTGTGAATGGGTTACAGGGATGCCAAACTCTTTGATTTTCTCAAGCTTCGCAGCTGTTCGGGTAACTGGTGCCCCATCGCTGGAGGATTCTGGCTACACACAGCCTTTATTTATCCTTGTGTGCACATGTGCCATGATCGGACACGAGTCGGGAGAACACTCCTTCGTGTTCCAAGGTGTGCACTATGAACACTCGTAGTTTCATTTACCCCGTGCATTCCTACCGTCCATTTCCGTCTCTACGACTTCCATCCTCACTCCAAACGTACCGAGGGTAGGATCTGTGTTTTTCTCTGTGTGATAGCGCCTAGTCTCGGCACTTACTGAACAGATGAGCAGATGGGTGTATACAGAGAGGAGGAGCAGCACGAGACTAGAAAACTGGGAAACATCAATATGTAAAGGGTTCAAGAATGAGGAAAGGACGCAGAACTCGAAGGAGAATAGGAAAGGCAGCGTGGAAGGCCAAGGAAGTAGAGTGAAGACAGCTTGGTCACTGGTGTGAAATGCAGAGGACAGGAGGCATGAAGTAAATGCATTTGGGTTTTTCCTCTGTGGAGTACAAAAGCTGCTAAGAAGTCAAGGCACAGAAGTAGACAGGAAGTTTAGAGTTGTGGTTAAAAGTGTGCATTCTAAAGCAACTCTGCCCACGCATAGTCCTCGATCCCACACTTACCAGCCGCCAAGGCACTTATACTTTCTACGCACGCCATGTTTGTAAAGTGACAAGGAATGGTAAGAGTGGCTGTTCTCAAAGGGCTGTTGTGATGATTAAATGCATCAGTTTCTGTAGCCTTTTTTTTTTTTTTTTTTTGCAGAGGGCAGTGCCTGGCACCGAGGAGACACCTTTTAAGCTATTATTAATACTCTCTTTTAGCTGCTGTGATAATGATACTTTCATTCATCATGATTTCCTGAGTACACCATTCACTATGACTGTGGGTTTAGTCCCTGAATTAGTGATTTTCATAAGGAAACAGATGACTATCCCAGAAAGGATGCTAGGGTTAGCTCCATGGGTGAATAATAGCAGTTAACATTTGAATACATTTAATTATAGGGCAAGAATGTTATGACAATGGATGTAAATGAGAAGCTATTTTGTCCCATTTTACAAAACATGGGTCAGATAAAAACTTTCTTGGTTTTAGGGACAAATACCGAAGTAGAAAATACTTCTGTCAGTGCTGTCTGGGAAGGCTTTCAACAAGTACTCACGTGCTGTTTAATAGCAGCTGCATCGGCCACCGTCCAAGCCTGCTTTTTCTTGAGTATTTGGTCAAGGATGAGGATGTCATCTGAATAGCTCAAGGGAGGGTTGATAGGCTTTGTATTTGCCGCCTTGACAGATATTTTAAAAAGAAGGTTAGCAATACATTTTAGTTTAAGTTATACAGCAACGACAAAGTCAAACATGTTTTATTATGAGGGGATTTGTATATGATTGGTAAAGTTGTTGCTAAATCATAAATGACTTTAGTTGGGGAACTTAGTATAGGGCCATGGGCATAGAGCATTTAGTAAGTCCTCCTTAACAATGATGAAGCCTACTGGCGAGAGAAATACAGACCAGATGGCTTTAAGTGGGAAGGGAGGACGGAGAGGAGTCAGTTCTATCTGACCCAAGCTTTACAAGCTTTCACGGAGCACTGAAAAGGAAGGTCGCCTCATGGAGTACGTATTATTTCTAAGCTTCTCATGGGAAACCAGTGTCTGTTTTCCATTTCCCAGGCTGCTGAATAATGTTGGTGGAAATCACATAAATATACTGATTTTTTCTTTGAAAGTGTATATTATGTAATCTCACCCAGGCCTTCAGTACTGCTTGATATTTCTTTTCTTCATTTGCTGTTAATATTCTTATAGTGCTCTTTATGGCAGCTACAAAGCCAGATATTTGGGCTGGGGATTTAGCTCAGTGGTTCTGCTGCCTGCCTCACAAGCACAAGGACACTGAGTTCAATCCCCGATACCAAAAAAAAAAAAAAGAAAGCCAGACATTCAAACTCCCTGAGCTAATGATCTTCTCTCTTTATTTTTAAATTATTTTGGTTTTGTTTTTTTGAGTCTAAGTCTCAATTCTCAGTATGTAATCCAGGCTGGCCTCAAATTTGCTCCCTTCCTGCCTCAGCCCCCTTAAATGATAGGATTACAGGCGTGTGTCATCACACCCTGATGTTCCTGCTTCTTTAAAGCTATCTAATGTGAATTCTCCTAACTGTTGTTCCCACCTTATGATTTTCCCACCCTTTCATTCCCTTCCTTCCTCCTTCTCTCTTTTTCCCTTTTTTCTTTCTTTCTTCTTTCTCTTTACCCTTCCTCCTCCTCACCCTTCTTCCGTCCCTCTTTTCCTCCTCTCTCTTCTCTTATCTCTTCTTTAGCTTTCCCTCTTCATCTCTCTCTCCTACCTCACCCCCTTTTCATTTTTTGCAGTACTGGGGCTTGAACCCAAGGCCTTCACACTGAGCTATATCCCAGCCTTTTTCTTTTAATTTTGTGCCTGGGTCTTGCTAAGTCACTAAGTTGCCCCAGGCTGGGGATTTACAATCTTCCTGCTTCCTAGTGTGTGGGGATTACATGTGTGCACTGCTATGCTTGGCCTTTTTTTTTTTTTTCTTGCAGTATTGGGGACTGGATCCAGGAGCATTCTACTACTGAGCTACTTACTTCCCAGTTGTTTTTACTGTTTATTTTGAGACAGGTCTTGCTAAGTTGCCCAGGCTGGGCTTAAACTTTCTATCCTTCTGCCTCAGCTTCCTGAACAGGAGGGAATACAGATGTGCACTATCATGCCTGGCTTTTCCTTGAGAGTTTTTCCTGATTTCTACAGCTCAAGTCTCTGCTTGTATTGTATTCTTTTCTTACTCCTTCTTGGAGTCTTTTCTTTTCTTTTTTTTTGGTCTGTTTTAGCGATGGCACCAGGGAATAAACCCAGGGGTCTTCACACTGAGCTATTCCACAGTTCTTTTTTATTTTTAGTTCAAGACAGAGTTTCACTAAGTCACTAATTGGCTAGGGTGTGCTTGAACCTGAGATCTTTCTGTCTCAGGTCCCCACCGTGGCTGGCTTGATTGCATCTTTGTGACTGATACATTGTTTGTAAATATATAACATTTACAGATTTTTTGGTGAATTCTATATGTATATAATCTTCATTATTTTGGATCCTTTCCCTTTCCCTGAATGCACTGTTTAATGTTTGTCATTTTATTTCCTATAGTATTTTACACGCTCATAGTGAGTTTGTGTGTGGAGTGAGGCACTGGGAGTGAATAGTTGGGTGGGAGCGTGGTTCATGTTACTCCATTACTTTTATTCTGAAACTTGAAAGTTCCATTTAGTTATAATTAAAATTTATATTTATATTACTTATATACTTACAATTTATATGAGATTAGATATGGTATATTAGATTAGTTATATTATACTGTGTAGTATAGCAGATCTCACAATGTTAAACATTTATATACATAATATCTATGTATCTATATCTAAGATATAGATAAATGTAAATGTAAATGTAAATATATATCATACCTAAGATACTATTATGTATTATATAATCGTAAACAAATATATCTTATATTTAATACTATATATTTAGATACAGTCATAAATATAAATATATATATCTTAGACCTTTATATTAGGGATATATAATATTTATAAGTGTACATATAATGGATAATGGATATGGTATGCTTAGACATAGATATGTACAAGTGTATACATATAGTATAATAGATATAGGTAGTATATTATATGTAACATATTAGTTATGAATGTTATGGAACAAGTCAGTGAAGGAGATAGGGTATTAAAGACTGTGACTTTATTTAAATATATATTTTACAAATAATTTACTGAGGTGAAAATTTATGTAACATAAAATTAGCCATTGGTGTTGAGTGTGGTGGCACACTCAGGAGGCTGAGGCAGGAGGATTGCAACCAGTTCAAGGCCAGCCTGTTGGACTAAATAGTAAGTTCAAGGCCAGCCTGGACTACATAGCAAGACCCTGTCTCAAAAAACCAAAACCAAAACCAACACCCAAACCAAAAGGAAACCAAACCAAACCAAACAAAATTAGTTATTTGAGTGAGGCATGGTGTTGCAAGTCTGTAATACCAGCACTCTGGAAGGCTGAGGCAGAAGAATTGCAGGTTTGAGCCCAGCCAGGACAATTTAATGACTTAGCTAGTCCCTGCCTCAAAATAGAAAATAAAAAAAAAGCTGCACTGGGGTTATAGTTCAGTGTAAAGGTCCTGGGTTCAATCCTCAGTACTACAAACCCAAGAAACAAAAAACCAAAACCCTCCAATCCCCCCCAAACCAAACAGCAACAACAGCAACAAAACAAAACCCAAAACCAACCCCCTAAAACCAAAGCAAACAAGCAAAAAATTATCCATTTGAAGTGTTCAGTTTGGTGGCATGTAACACACTGACAATGTAGGAACTGTGATTTTAATAGGGTTGTTGGAGAGGCGCCTACTGAAATGACATTCCAGTCAAAACCTGAAAGAGATGACAAGAGAACTACGCAGATATCTGGACACAGCATGGGTAGAGGAATAACAAAGCCAGGGTATGAGGATGAGAGTGTGTTGGAGATGTCAGAGGAACAGTAAAGAGGCTCTGTGGGTGAAATGCAGTGTGCTGGAGGCGGGCAGTAGAAGAAAAGATCGACACACAATGGGGGTCCAGATCATCGATGCCCCGCAGAGCTTTCCACAGTGAGATGTCCCCCCTCCCAGGGCTGGAGATCGAACTCAGGACCTTGTGCTTGTGAGGAAGGCATGGTGCCACTGAGCTAAATCCCTGGGCCCCCAGTGAGGTTTCTTTATTTTTGTGCCATTTGATAAAGTAGCCACCTGCCACACATGGCAATTGAGCGCTTGAAATGTGGATCGTGACTGACAAACTATATTTATAAGTTTACTTAATTTAAATCTAAACAACCATTACCAGCTGCCATTAATTGGAAGGCTCGGGTTTAGATTGTGTAGGACCTTGTAATTATTACGAAGACTGTGTTGTTTTTTTTTTTTTCTGAGTAATATGAAAATCTACTGGAGGATTTTGGGCTGATTTTAATGGCCACTTTGGCTTCTTTGTTGAGAATAGAGCAAAGGAGGGAAAAGTAGATGCCAAAGGACCATTTACAGAGCTAGTATATAGTATATTCTTAATAAAATATTTGCAGAGCTGGGCATGGGGGCGCATGCCTGTAATCCCAGCACTTGGGAGGCTGAGGCAGGAGGATCGCTGTGAGTTCGAGACCAGCCTGGGTTACACAGTGAGTTCCAGGTCAGTCTCAACTACATAGTGAGACCCTGTCTCAAAAACCAACAACAACAAAAAAAAAACCAACCAAAAATTTGCATTACAATTTTCTTCCACCCAAAGAGATTGAAGGCATAAGTAAGTCAGTGGTAGAGTTGTTACCATATGCTAATAAGCCCTGGGTTTTAGCCCCAGCACTGAACCAAAACAAACCAAGCCAAACCAAAATATTGAGTTTTCTATGGGTCAGAATCTATTTTAGGTGATGGAAGTTACTTAGTGAAAGAAATAAAGTCCTTGTATATATGAACTTTGTATTATTCTGGATAGTGATTAATAGCATATAGATAAGCATCATGTCAGTGGGGAGTGGCTCAATTTTCAGAAATAAATTTCAAGGAGGATAAATGTTCACTTATAACTTCATTTGGAGAGATAAAAATAAAATGTGACCTTGAGGTCACTTGTGACAGCAATACCCCTCTCTGGAACCCTTATATCTTATGCCTGGAGGTGCCTTCTGGGGATTTCATAATGATGTGAGCCACAGATGGACCTCTGGAACTCAGAGATGCCCCACAGGGTGGGCTGTCTCTGTATTAATCTCAGCTCTCATTAATCTCATAACCTCATTAATCTCCATATTAATCTCAGTTCTGTTGCACTATAACAAACCTGAGGTAAGGCCAGAACTTCCTGAGAGCATATCTAGCAGTTTGGGCATACTCGTCTGAGACTTTAGAACTCATGATAACAAAAATATATAGGGGCAATAGCCAGGCATGGTGGCGCATGCCTGTAATCCCAGCACTCGGGAGGCTAAGGCAGGAGGATTGCCGTGAGTTCGAAACCAGCCTGGGCTACATAGTGAGTTCCAGGTCAGTCTCAACTACATAGTGAGGCCCTGTTTAAAAAAAAATGTATATATATATATATATATATATATATACACACACACACACACACACACACACATAGGGGCAAATGGATTAGAGGCAACAAAGCAAAGCCAGGCTAGGAGGTACAGCTAGGATCTTAAGTAGGGTTCTAGTCAAGGATAAGATGGCCAGTTCATCACTGCACCACTTTGTTGATATGGACCTTGCCTTCCCACCCTGTAATGTCTGGCCCAACCATAATCTTAAGCTGGTTGAGAAAGCCCAAACTGCAGCTTCTGGTCCCTGGGTTCCTGAGTTAATGGGGAGCAATGAAGGTAGACCCATGCTCTTTTACTGTTATTTTTATATTGCTTAACCCCAAACCTAGGATTGTCGTTTTCAGTAAGTTTGTCTGTTGAAATGAAATGAAATATTTACAGCTGGGCTTAGTTTAGGAACGTGGATACAGAAGCTTGTTTGACATAGGATGAGTTCTCTTGAGGTGGTACTTTAAAAACCCAAATATTAAACGTTAATGTGACATAATCTAAAAATCTCACCTGTGCTTTCCAGTCTCTTTTATGGAAAAAGTAGTCCTCAAAGAAATCCAGAGGCTCTTTTCTCCTTAGCATTTCTAATTTCTGTATGTCTTTGAAAGGTTTTCCCATCACCATCCCATCCACGTTAGGAAACAACGGAAAGATGGGTATTTTTGAGTATGGGCTGTCTGAAGGGTCATTATACCCTAGAAAGTTAAAAAACAAAAATAGTTCACAAACAATGAAACTCTCATGAAAGATGAACTCGTGGTGCCTATTTTTCTCTTTATCTATGCATCTCAGTGGCCGTGCCCCTCTCCTTCACTCCCCTCTTCCCTTTCCACATCCACCTGCAGACTCTGGGTTTCACCCTAGTTCGAGTCTAAGGACCCGGGACAAGGGTGTCTTCGCTTTCAAATGCTATCTGTATGACAGAGAATAGTTACTCTGGACTCAAGTATTTACTTCTGAGGAGTCATACAAATAAATCCTTTAACCTAGCTGAGGAGGCGAAGGGTCCCTGCGATGAAAGATTAAAGAGGAGATTAAAGAGGAGGTAAGATTTCATGCAATCTCTATTAAAATACCTACAATATTGTTCATTGAGCGACATAAAACAATAATCCTAATATTTATATGGCACCAGAAGAGACCTAGAATAGCCAAAGAAATCCAGAGCAGAAAAAGCACAGTGGGAGACATCACAATTCTGGATTAAAAAATAAAATCTAAAACCCAAACCCCAAATCCAACGTGGTATTCATACAAAAATAGATAGATACAGTGGATCCTTGACTGAGTAATTCAATTCATTTGCAAAGGCTGGTTGTAACTCAAGTTGGCTGCTCTGCACAGCCTTCAGTCTCTCTCCTGTATGATTTTAGGCCACACTCTCTCCAGACAGACCTCAGTGTCCTTAGAGACATTGGCCCAGGATTTGTCAGTTAACCTCACACAAGAAAGGATGCTGTATTGTTCCTTCTAGAAGTGTTTAATGGTTAAATCTGTATCTGAGACCATCTGGAAGCACGAATGACTGGCATTCGCATAGGAACTCAACACTTTGGTCCTAAGTTAACACTAAAATTTCAGTCGCCACTCAAGTTGTCTGTATGTCAGGCAGGTTGTAACTTGAGGGTCCACTATAGACCAATGGAATAGAGTAGAAAACACAGAAACAACCCCCTATACCTTTAATCATTTGATTTTTGACAAAGAGGCTGTCTTAGTTACTTTTTCTCATTGCTGAGACAAAATACTCGATACCAAATACTCACAGTTTCTAGAGGTTTCAATTTAGAGTTAGTTGGCTGCAAGGCAAGGTGGCATGGCAGGGGGCAACACATAGGAGAAACAGTGTGTGGTGGCCAGAAGACAGCAAAGTAGTAAAGGAGTAGCAAGGGACAGCAGCAGTCCTCCTTCTGTCCCTTGTGTCTATCCAGGCTACCCTCCCTTAGGGCAGGCAGCACTCACACCAAGGAGGGCCTATGCCCAACTATGCAGACTAATTTAGTAATCACACACTCAACCCCAGCATCACACACTGTAGATCCAGCCATCTCTGAAAAGTCCCATCTATGACTACACAAGGCTTTGGGGAGACATCTAGACACAGCCGTAACAAGGACCAAAAAGATGCATTGGGGAAAAGATGACCTCTTTAGAAACATGTTGGGAAAACTGGTTATACACATGCAGAAGGTTTACAACTAGATTCTTATATCTCACCCTGTAAAGTCAAATAAAAATGGATCAAATACTTAGATGCAAAAACAAGAACATTGAGCTGGTGTGGGGCCACATACCTGTAATCTCAGTATTGCTGTTGAGCCCAGACTGGGTAACTTAGCAACTTGGTGAGACACTGTCTCAAAAATAAAAAACAAAAAAAAGGGCTGGGGATATAGCTCATTGTAAGGACCCTCCGTTCAGTCCCCAGCACCACAAAAACAAACAAAACAAAGACTTCCCCCAAACCAAGAACACTGAAACTACTGGAAGATAACTTAGGGAAAACACTTGAAGCCACAGGTACGGGCAAGGACTTCTTAAATAGAATTCTGATAAGGAAAATAACACCAAGAACCAATGAATAGTATTAATCAAATTAAAAAGCTTTTGTAGCCGGTGTGGTGGTGCACGCCTGTAATCCCAGCACTCGGGAGGGTGAGGCAGGAGGATCGCTGGGAGTTTGAGACCAGCCTGGGCTACATAGTGAGTTCCAGGTCAGTCTCATATAGTGAGACCCTGTCTCAAAAAAAGAACAACAACAACAACAACAACAACAAAAACTAAAAAGCTTTTGTACAGCCAGGCATTGTGGCACATACCTGTAATCCCAGCACTTGAGAGGCTGAGGCAGGAGGATCACTGTAAATTCAAGGCCAGCCATGGCCATGTAGGCCAGCCTGAACTACATATAGCAAGACCCTGTCTCAAAAAATAAATAAATAAGAAAAGCTTCTATACAGCAAAGGAAACAACAGAGTGAAGAGACAACCTATAGAACGGGAAAAAAATGAGTTACTCTGACAGAGGGCTAATATTTAGAATATATAAAGGACTCAAAAAATCAATCACCAAAAGACAAATGACCCAATTAAAAAAAAATAGGCAAAGGAACTGAAAGGACACCTCTCAAAAGAAGAAGTACCAGTGGCTTCAGCATCTTTAGCCATCAGGGAAACACAGGTCAAAGCAACTCTGTGATTCTGTTCTACCCACAGTCAGAGTGGCTTCCAAGAACACACAAAACAACAAATGTTGGAGAGTATGGGGGGGAAAAGGAACATTTCTACACTGCTGGGAGGAAGGTAAACTAGTACGGCTCCTATGGAAATCAGTACTGCGATTCCTCAAAAGACTAAAACTAGAAATTCTACTTGATTCAGCCACATCCCACCCGGGTGTGTTTCTGAGAGTTAAGGACATAGTTCAGTGATATAGTTCATGCCTACCATGTTTATAGCTGTACAATTCACAACAGCTACACTCTAGAAAGTGCCTATGAACAGAAAAACTGATAAAGAAAACTTGGTATATATGAGGTGTGATTGAAAAGATGTGGTGAATGCTTAAATAAAAAACATACGCAAAGCAGTAAGCCATTAAGATCAGAGCAGAAGCCAGTGAAACTGAAAATGAACAGTTTTTAAAAATCAATAACGCCTGTTGGGCGTGGTGGCATAAACCTGTAATCCTAATACCCGGGAGGCTGACTGGGAGTTCCAGGACAGTTTGGGCTACATAATGAGTTCAAGGCCGGCCTGAACTGCATGGTGAGACCCTGTCTAAAAAAAAAATTATTATAGTAAAAGACATTGCCATTGATCTCCCTTAAAATACTCCCTTTTGCTTTGAACCTTAATTTTTTTTTTCAGTACCGGGGATTGAACTCAGGCCCTTGCGCTTGCAAGGCAGCAGCCAGGACCACTGAGCTACATCCCCGGCCCTGTCCCTCTTGCTTTGAACAAACTCATCCCACCCTCCTTGCCACTTTCTGAAGCATCTGTGGAAATACTGTTTTGTGAATGTCTTCAGTTGCCCTGTTGTGGCTGCTTCAATGTCCTGAATTGATCCAAAACATTTACTTTCCATGGTCATTTTGACTTTGGGGAAGAGCCTGAAGTTGGATGATGCCAGATTGTAAATAAGGTGGACAAAGACTCTCTGTGTCGGTCTTGCCTTTGTGTTAGCCATTCAGAGTTTTTGTTTTTGTTTCTTTGAGACAGGGTCTCACTATGTAGTTGAGTCTGACCTGGAACTCACTATGTAGCCCAGGCTGGTCTTGAACTCAGTGATCCTCCTGCCTCAGCCTCTCGAGTGCTGGGATTACAGGTGCGCACCACCATGCCCGGCTGTCACAGTATTTTTTGATCACATCTTGTAAAGGCAGTCATGAAAGAGGACTTCTAGAACTGTTTCAGAAAGTTGCAAGAATGATAAAATAAGTGTGCTTGAAGCTAGGGGGAATATTATGAGGGGGGTTAGTGGCAGTGCGTAATTGTCATACAATTTTAAAATGTAAACATTTACTGTATATTTCCATCACATTTCATATACACAATGAAATACTATTCAGCCACAAAAAAGAATGAAGTCATGGCATTTGCAGGAAAATGAGTGGAATTTGATACTCTCGTGTTAAGTGAAGTCAGATACAGAAAATTAAATATTACATGGCTTCTTAAACAAGAAGCCTAAGACATAAATGGATGAAAGAGTTCAAAGAAGGGGAGATGATAGGAGACAAGCAGGTAGACTTGTAGGAGATGGAAATGGATACGAGGGAGGAAGAAGGTGTGAGTAAAGGGAAAAAATGGTTATCAAGACGTGCTATATCCGTACGCATCAGTCCTCCAAAACAAACGTGCTGCAAACATACACTCACAAAAAAATTAAAAAGCTTTTCAAGCAGTGGAAAGCAAACAAACAGCTCTTACTTTTGAGCTCTTCAAGAAATTTAAACAAATCCTTTTCACTTGTAATTGCAATTCGGGCAGCGTTAGCAAAGGCAGCCGTGCTTGAGCTTGGAGTCAAGCACATATCTGGTTTAAATCTTCTTTTTCCATAGCCCATAGCTTTTGGATTCCACAGCACTTCTGCACTGATACCCTGGAATTTTCTGTGGAAGTAGCTTAAAAAGAAAAAAAAATTAAGAATAGATAAAAGTGCTAGAAGACAAAAAGTGTTAAATTACAAGTCATATATGCAGAATGAATTTATTTTAAATCTTATTTGCATACTCAATAATATTTGTTTCTGTTTGTTCATTTGTTTTGGTACCGGGGATCAAGCTTGGGACCGTGCAAGCGGCAGAACCACTGAGCTAAATCCCCGACCCTGTTTTTGTGTTTTTGAGACAGGGTCTTACAGTATTGTTCTGGATGGCACCGAACTCACTATGTAGTCCAGGCTGGCTGCAAACTCATGGTGATCCTCCTGCCTCAGCCTCCCAAGTGCTGTCAATAATATCTGAATGTTTATTTCTATGACATTTATAGAATATCTACTACTACTAATACTATTTTTATTATTATTAATTATTATTTTAAGCAAGTGCTCTACCACTGAGCTACACACTCAGCCCTTATTTTATTTTGAGATAGCGTCTTGCTAAGTTGCCCAGGCTGGCATGGTACTTGCAATCCTCTTGCCTCAGCCTCCCAAGTATATAGGCATGTGTCACTATAAAGCTTCTACTATAATTTCCATAGGCCATTTGACTATTTTCTGTCTGTAATTCTTGGCTTTTGATTTCCTTTGTCTTGCTCAAGACTTCTTGGTCTTATGTACATAAGCACATAAGATCCTTGACACATCCCCTAAAATGGTACTGGCTTGAATGTACACGAGTCATGTTTATACTACATTACTATGTGTTGGGTTTAAAACTGCAACTTTGAAACATGGGGAGGGGAGGAGGGGGTGAAGGGAGGGAAGGGACAAGGGGAAAAAATGAGAATCAAGAGCTATTATGTAAAGCTACAGAATCCCAATGATGAATGTAATTGTATTGTATACCTAGGTTGTACCAATAAACTCAATAAAAAGAAAAAAAAAAAAAGAAGCATGTGCTTAATAAGAATAAATGCCCGTCTTCAGGTCAAACCCACACGCGGGAAGGTGGAATATCAGCGACTGCCTGCGGGTGTGTCACACTTGCCTAAGTTTTGATGCTACCGATTGTGTTTGTCAGGGCAGGAGGAGGAGGTTGCACCGCACGGTGCCTCCTCCTGCACAGAATTTTGTTGTCCTCTACACAGTGTACACCCCGGCGCCACACAATGGAGTTCTGGAAATACTGGGAAAAATCCCGTCCTCACACGGTCATGCAGGAGTACACTACGGACTGGCAGTCTGGGGCCGCCGGGAGCCTGCGGGCTGCAGGTTCGACACGCCTCGTCAATGCTGACGTTTCTTTTTCTTTTTTCGGTCTGGATGACGTCCATCCACTGAGGAAAGTCATGACTGTAACAGGGTATCTCTCTTTTCAGATCTAGCCAGGTCTGTTTTAGAAGTAGGTACTCCAGTTTGGGTGCGTATATATTTGCAACTGTTATTTCCTCTTGTTGAATTCATTCCTTTGTCATTATATAACAACCTTCTTAATCTCTTTTTGCAGCTTTCACAATTTGCAAAAGATTTGACTCCTTGTTTCCAATTATCTATTCCTTATCTAATCCTTGTTTCTTATTATCTATTTTTTTTCTTTTTTGAGACAGAGTCTTACTATGTAGTTCAGGCTGGCCTTGAACTCACTATGTAGCCTAGACTGGACTCACACTTGCAGCGATCCTGCTGCCTCAGCCTCCCAAGTGCTGGGATTACAGGCATGCACCACCAGGCCTGGCTCTACCTTTATTTTGCTCTTTAAATTATTTATTAAGTGGATTTCTTGTAGGTTGCATATTATATTGTTGGGTCTAGTTTATTTTTTGACACATTCAGTCCGTTTATATCTTTTAACTGGGCAGTTTAATTCATTTACATTCACGGTTACTGTTAGCTAGGTATGGTAGTACATGCCTGTAATTTCAGCAGTCTGGGAGACTGAGGCAGGAGGATTGCAAGTTCAAGCCTATCCTGGGCAACTCAGTGACTTAGTGTGCCCCTGCCTCAAAATAAAAAATGAAAAAGGTTTGGGGATGTAGCTCAATGTGAAGGCCTTCAGTTCATCTCCAGTACCACAAAACATGTAAAACAACAACAACAACAACAACAACAAAAACACAAGGTTATTGTTAAGTAAACACATATTCACTGTCTTTTTTTTTTTCCTGTGCGCTCGATATCTTCTTCCCCCCTTTTTGTTAATGTTTATGGTTTGGTGGGTTTCTCTTTTGATAGGCTTGATCCTCTTCTGTTTTATCTATTCTACTTTTTTTTAATAGCAAAATATTGATTGGCGTGCTTTAAGCATAATAATGGTAACATGCATCATAGAGAATTTGCACCTGCACATGACGTATCTGTCCTCTTTTTTCCCATTCCCCCTCTCCCCTTAAGCCTCTTCCCCTCCCTACGTACAAAAGCTGTTTCTATTTTCCCTTTTTTTCTTGTCTCTTTCTTTCTTTTCCTCTCTCTACTCAAGTTCCCCTTTCCACTTGAAAATTTTCTTCCTATTTCATGATATCTATTATATACCTTAGCCCTTATTTACAGTTTGGGTTTCTCACAGCAGAGAAACAGTGTGACATTTACACGTGTTCTGATTTATTTCACTTAAGAGTATGATCTCAAAGTGCACCCATTTACCTAGAAATGACTCACGTTTATCTTTCTTCTTTATCCATTTGTCTGTTGATAGGCACTGGGGCTGTTTCCAAGATTTAGCTGTTACAAACTCTGCTGCTATAAACATGGGTGTGCATATATCACTGGTATGATGCTTTTAATTCTTGTGGGAAGAAATCAAGAAGAGGAATATCTGGTTCAAATGAAACATCTAGTTTCACTTTTTTGAGAAATCTCCACACCGATTTTCACAGTGGCTGCACCAGTCTACACTGCTGCCAACAGTGAAGAAGGGTTCCTTTTTGTTTTGTTTTGTTTTTCAGGTAGGGTCTTGCTTTGTAGTTCAGGCTGGACTTGAATTCACTTCGTAGTCCAGGCCGGCTTCAAACTCTCAGCAATCTTTCTGCCTTAGCCTCCTGAGTGCTGGGATTACAGGTGTGCACCACCATGCCTAGCTGTTTTACTGTTCAGATTTATACTTTTCCATGTTTTCCTGATGACAGGTACCATATTTTTGCTTCTAGTGTAGGATTACCTTAAACATTTCTTATAGGAATGGCCCAATGGCGATGCATTCCTTCAGTTTTTGTTAGTCTTAGAAAGTTTTTATTTCTCTTTAATTTCTGAAGAATAGTTTTGGTGGGTATAGTATTCTTGGTTGGTAATTATTTCAGCATTTTGAATAAATCATCCTATTCTCTTTTGGCCTATTAAGATTTTTTCAGGCTTGCTATTAATCTAATGTGGATTCCCTTATGTGTGACTTGACATTTTTCTCTTGCTATTTATAGAATTCTGTCTTTACCTTGTACTTTTGACAGTCTGATGAAAATATACCTTTGTAGGGGCAAATTGAGTTTTTTAGGAGTCCTTTGTGTTTCTTAGACTTGTATGTACATATCTTTTCCAAAATTTGGAAATTTTCTAGCGATTTCTTTGAATTGCCCTTCTATGCCATTTTCCTTTTTCTTCTAAAATCTGGAACATCCACGATGCAAGCTGTCTAGCCTTATAAGACTCTAAAACTAGCTTTATTCTTTTCTTTTTTCTTCTCTTTTCTTTCCCCCTCTGCAGGGAACAGGGAAAGCGGACATTACCAGAAACCCTGCAGTGGGTCCTGGTCTCTGTGAGCCACAACAGCACAAAGCGAATTAAAGAATAAAGACAGGAAATGAAACTGAGAAGAAGCTGGGCTCTGGGCCCGATCAGCCCTGCTGTGGGCAGCAAAATAAAGGCACCCCAAGCTTGCCACTGTTTACTGGGCTCATAGAAAGTAACATATGACTCAGAGAGTGGCAATGATGCTAAATGGACAAGGATCTTACAATCAGAAGAACTATTAGATGCCTTGGAGGGTGGCAGTAATCCTATGATCACAAGGATCTTACACTGATGAGAATCTTAGGTCAATGAGAAGCTTATGTTGATTAGGATGGTAAAATGACCAAAGACATTCTTACAACAGTAGGTAGGACGAGTTAAACTGGTAAAGAATCTGTCCCTCCCCAGATGAAAACTTTCTCTTTCTACTTGGTTCTCAAGGAAGCAGGATGTCTTTAGCTGATGTAATCCTGCCCTTGAGAGTCACAGCATCCTGAGCCCAATGAGGTCTCAGCTGTGATCAGAGGCAAAAATGGAGCTGTGTTTCAGCGTGTCGTAGCTAAACTGTAGGCAAGAAGACTAGGCTTAATAATTTAATTGTGAAATGATTTCTCCCCAAAATTATGTAGAATGGCTCCTGGCACCCCTTTCTCTTCCCTTTCTTTCTTTTTAAAAAATCTGACTGGATCATTTCAAAAGGTCTGTCTTCTACCTCAGGAATTCTTTATTCCTGATCAATTCTGCTATCGAGGCACTCAACTGTCTTTTTTTTTTTATTCCCTCTGGTGTTTAGCACTAAGCTCATGGGTTATGTTTTATGATCTTTTCCTACATTTCTCATTCAGATCATGTGCTTTTGCTGGATTATCCACTTGTATTCTCTTATATCTCATCAAGTTTTAAAAAATTCATTCTTCCGAGTTCTTTGCCAGGCAATTCATTCATTTCCTTTTCTTTGTTGCTAGAGAGTTACCGTGTTCTTTTGCAGATGTCATGTTACCTTACTTTTTCATGCTTGTTGTGTTTCATTGTTGGCATTTGTGTATCTGGCAGCGAGGCAGGAGGCAGCTAAAGAAAAAGCTGGAGAGAGAAGCAAGGGCTTTCCCAAAAGGTCTCTTTCTGGGCTAGATATGAAGTGTAAGGTAACCAAGGAAATGGCTGGAGGAAGAAGAGGGGTCTGCCTTGGAACCTGCTTTCTCAGACTGGATTTCCCTTCTCAGTTAGACATCAGCCCACGACCAGCGTGCCCAGGTCTAAATTATAATGGGAAAAGGTAGTCAGGTAATTTAGATGATATACAATAAGTCTCTGGGCACGCATCCAGTGGTCTGCAATCCTTGGCTGACACCAACCCTAGTCATCATTACGCTGACTATGAAGATTATGTGTGGCATCCAAAGCTCACAGAGGCTAGTGAATGGGTTCAAAGGGCCTTAAGAGCTCAAAAACACCACTACTCAATGGTGGAGCCCAGACAAGACATTCTTTGGCAGGAGTCATCTTTAGACCAACCCCTCAATCCCACCTCAAATCCTAAGGTTTAAAACTTTCAACATTGAGCCCTCTTGAGGTGTGAGCCCTTCTCACTGGCCAATCCAACCTGGCAGAATTCATCTTGTCTTTCGTCTTCCAAATAAACCTTTGACTGTGCCACTACTTTTGGGCGTCTTGCTTAAATCTTCGTTTAGGACATCTAGAACCTGGACAAGACCCCTACCAGGTAACAGTAGGGCAGTTGCATCTACCCCACTTTTAATATTGAGTTTTTATTACAAGTAATGTGGTAGGTTTAAAAAAAGACTTTCAGTGATTTTTGAAGGAGATCAATTTCTGATTTAAAGAAAAACAAATGTTACAATGAGTCATGTACTATGAAAAAAGGTTGTGGAATATAAAGGTGAATATGTCACAGTCAGTCTTTGATACCAGAGACTTTAAATACACATAGCTGTCTCCTCTGTCTTGCCATGTGATGCCCTTCATCATATTACAGCGCAGCAAAAAGACCTTTGCCAAATGCTGAGCAAATGCTGAATAGATGCTGGCACCACACCATTGGACTTCTAAGCTTCCAGAAACAGTGAGATGTTGATCATCCTAGGTACCTTTTTTTCAAATATGCTTGGTTACTTCTGCACATTTGTTTTTTCATATAAGCTTTGAGATTTGCTTGAAAAATTCCATGCTGAACACAATACACAAAACTCTCCTTTTGTATAGTTAGATGATGTTATAAACTTGTTTGGTCCATTATCACCTACTTTAGTGAGCTGGGCAGTGAGGCAGTAAGACAAAACTTCATCACTCATGTCGTGTGCGGTATGGTCAGGCAGCCATCTTCTGTCTGGTAACTGTTCTGCTGGAAAATGTGGTCCCCAAGTTACTCTTTTTGCTCATGAAACTTTGCAGCAAGAATACAGACCTCACCAGACACAATCTTCTGGGGCTTTGATCTTGGACTTCTCAATCTCCAGAAATTTAGTTAAATGAGTCTCTACTGTTCTGAAAATGCTTTTGCTCAAGATTCTGAAGTTGTGCTGCTATTGGGTAGCTTGTTTTTAAAAAGTGGCTCACCAGCTAAATGTTACCAGGTTTGGTTTGCTTGCCTCTCTTTCTGGAGTTCTCGTCTTGAACAAAGAACTGGATGAAACAAGCAAAAAGCAGTGGCAAAGTTTATTTGTTGTTGTTGTTGTTTTTTGGTACTGGGGATCGAACTTGGGTCCTTGCGCTTGCGAGGCAGGTGGCAGAACCACTGAGCTAAATTCGCAGCCTGGTATTCTGTATTTTTAAGTCTCAGTAAGTATGATACCACAATGCTTTGAAGAAGTATGAATTGAAGAGATTGATAATAGCAAAATTTAATTTATATGATACAATGATAAAATTGATTGAGGAAACTCATTTTTACTGCTATTTGCTGGAATAAGTTACTACACTCGGTGATGAGAATGTTCCTTATCCCTATTCTCATGTCTAGTCCTGCCTCCACTCCAGTCCAAAGACTTCCGTGGGAAGTCTGCTCTTGCTGTACCTCCCTTTAGAGTCAGAGGATCTTGCGAGCCCCTGGTAGTTCCTGCATGGATAGAGGTATTAGTATTCCACTTTGGGTCTTTTTTTTTTTTGGTGCTGGGGATTGAGCTCAGGACCTCATGCTTGCCAGACAGGCACTGTACCACTGAGCTACACCCCTGGCCCCACTTTGGATTTTGAAACCCACTTAAAATTATCTCAGGAAAAGTTTGATTCTGCTGGGATTTCCCGCCCCAGAGTAGAAGAGGTTGAACTTTCTTGGATGTTTTAGGCTTACAGTGGGGCTTGGAGATAGTCTGAGGTTAGCCTTGCAACTTTAGAGCCAGGCAGGAATGCTTTGGCACATGAACATTTGCCTAGATACTTTTTCCTGTGTTTTGGTTTTTTGAGTTTCATTATTTTTTTTTTTTTTGAGACAGGGTCATGCTATGTAGTGCAGGCCGGTCCTGACTCACTATGTAGCCCAGACTGCCCTTAAACTCATGGTGATTCTCCTGCCTCAGCCTCCTGAGTACTAGGATTACAGGTGTGTGCCACCACTCCTGGCCTTTTTCCTATTTTGGACCAGATCCTGTGGAGCAGAGTGTTAGTAAGCTGTCCTTATAAACGCTTCTGGGAAGGCTGTTCCACCTCTTTCCTTGGCACTTACCTTACTATCTTCATTATAGTTTTTCTGGGTAGGGCTGATATCTCTACAAGCTTTGATAGGATTTCAAATAATAGGATCCCAGAGTTGCCAGTTAAATCTAAACAAGTTTCCTTTTCTGGAACTATGGAGGGGGACAAAAAAATTTTTTTCAGAATGTCTTCAGGACAAAGCACTTATCAAAAAAGTAATAAAATGACAGTCATTTTTACTATTAACAGCAACAACAATAGTAATATGAAGTCAGGGACGGAAGATATAGTGAAACATTAAAATTCTGTTCTGTTGAAAGATCATTTTGATTAAGGGGCAAACAGAATAATCACTTAATATAAAAATACTTTTAGTTCAATGTTTTCTAAGTAAATATATAATTCCTTTAGAAGCATGAAGGATTATTGTCTTATTCCTCCAAGCAAAGGAATTGTCAATAAGCACATCCTTGGTTTATAAGAAAACTCTCATTTTATTTATTTATTTATTTACTTTTGTGACAGGGTCTCACTATGTAGTTGACATTGATCTGGAACTGAATATGTAGCCCAGGCTGGTGTTGAACTCACAGTGATCCTCCTGCCTCAGCCTCCCGAGTGCTCAGATTACAGGCGTGCGTCACCACGCCCGGCTATTTATTTTTATTTTCTACTCTTTTTTTGTCTGGTACCTGGGATTGAACTCAGGACCTTGCACTTGCCAGGTAGGCACAGTGCCACTGAGCTACATCCCCAGCCTTCATTTTTATTATAGTATTTGGAAATGGTAACTGTTTTTAAAATCCTCAGGACAGTTTGTAGTTGAGAAATGGGTGTTTTCAAAACTGCATACAGTATTTGAACTTTGGAATGTATTATCACAGAAAACAGGACATTAATAGTGGTTAGATTTTCCAAGGCAGGCAGTCTGTTAAGCTTAAAAACAAACCACGAGAGTATTCTTACATCGCATGGACAACCTTGTATGAGAACATGCGCGCTAACCTCAAGCAGACTTTCACTGAGTTAGAGGCTTCATCAGCGTGAGGAAGGTATTGCGAAAAACACCTTGAAGAGCAGTAAATCATCCATGCTCAAATCTGCGCGAGATCACTTTTTTCTTCTAAAGAAAATACTTATTTTCTTTTGTAAAGAGAGTGTTTCTCAAAGTAGCACATAAACCCGGTAAAGAAAACTTAAGACTCTATAAAAGGAGACCACATTTTCCTGTCCCCATCACTTCCTTGCGTGTTCTCTCTGAGACCAAATGTCCCCTGCAGGAGTCCTTTAGAGAACGCCAGTGCTTGCTTGATATATACAAGTTAAAGTTCTAAAATAGCGTCAGTGTGCCTAGCGGATAGTGTTCTGGAGATGCAGTTTAAAAATAAATCACATCCCAGATTACTCTTTCCCGGTCTGTCTCCTGATTAGAGGCCTCAGTGAATAACGTTTACCATGTGGTGGGTTGTAGCTACCAATCGGCCGTCTGTCCTACAGCCTGTACTCACCCACGGCCTTGAGGAAGCGGTTCTTATCCGTCAGCACCCTTAAGAAGTCTGAGAAGTTCACCTTCCCATCTCCTACAATGGAGACGTGCGCTCAGAACAAGGACATGACGTGCTTATATTATTAGACTATGCGTATGTATGGACGTTGGACTACGGGATCACTTAGTATTTAAATTCAGTGCATGTTAATTTGTTCAGGTCTTCCTGAAGTGATTTTAGCCACATTACATTGTCTTCTGCAGGCCACAGAAATGAGGGCGGGTCATGAACATTCAGCCAGGAGTTCCCAGGCATTTAGTCCAGTGCCTCCACCGGCTTTCCAGAGATTGGCAAGGAATTTTTACAAGGAATCCACCCAACTTTCCACCCTGTATCGACTCCTATTATTTGTTTTCACATTATCCAAGTTATGCCTCATTTCCCCTAAAACTAAAGGAGAGCGAGTGCTACTTGGAGAGCTGCTGTGTTTCCATGAAAGAATAGAAAAATTAGGCAGAGTTAGTGGAAACAAGTGACACCTTCATGACCTGATGACGCTGAGTCACAGGTGGGACTGTTGCTGACTGAATAGGGCCTGGAGTGGGGTAAGAATGAGAGGAGATCAAGGGCTGCAATATATGTTTCTGCACAATTTAACGGTTTGGACTGCTAATCACAAGGTCAATATACTGCAGAGGCCGGGCATGGTGGAGCACGCCTATAATCCCAGCACTCGGGAGGCTGAGGCAGGAGGATCGCTGGGAGTTCGAGACCAGCCTGGGCTACATAGTGAGTTCCAGGTCAGTCTCAACTACATAGTGAGACCCTGTCTCAAAAAACCAAAACCAAAACCAACCAACCAACCAACCAAACAACAACAACAACAAACAACAACAAAAAAAACCTAGCAGAAACATAGACCTATTTGCTTTTAAAATATCAGCAAAAATTCTGTGGAATTTAAAATTCAGGACAGGTAGGCTGTAACGACAGCAGAAAGATCTGTGCTAATGATTCAGATGGGAACAAGGGCTTAGATTTCCTTGGTCATATGTCATTTTAAAAATTGTTCACACCTTTGTGTCCATTATTTCAAGGCTTCGCCCAAAATGAGCATCACAGCGGGCAACTTGAAGGTGATATCGAGGGGACACAGGTACTCTTAGTTTTTCACAATAGATTTTTGTTTTGGTTTTTTGAGATGATAAAGTTTAATTTATAATTAGGCACAATAACAGATTAACAACTAATAATAAAGTAGAACAATTATAGTAATATTAATAAAAGTTATGTGAATGTACTACCTCTTGAAAGAGTCAAGACAAATATTAATATTTTTGTACTGTGGTTGACTTTGGGTAACTGAAGCCATGGAAAGTGAAACAGGTAGATAAGGTAGGGCTACTCTTTATGTTATGTACCTTTTTTTTTTTTTAACCAAAAGTATATACTACAAGAGAGATTTATTTCCTCTGTCTATACAATCACTGAGAAAAAATATATATTCAGAAAAGTCTTTTTAAAAAAACAATGAGAAGGCAAAATACTTACGATCAAGATCAGCACATTTTAATTCATTATAGACATCATGCTTGGTTAAATTCATTCCTAATTTAGCTAAAGTGCTCATCAGTCCATTTAAATCAATACAGCCAGTTTTATCCTTGTTGAAGAAGTTATAGGCATCTTGGAAGGCTGGAGAAGTGGAATTAAAAGTGAATATTTAACAGACATCTTTAATACAGCACATTGTCAGTCCTTTGGTTTGAACTGGAATAAACAAATCGGGAGAGCAGAAAACCAGATGCGGCAGGTGAGATGGTCTTGCAGAAAGTCCACACCCCAATCCCCAGAACCTATGAATATGTTATTTTACGTGATAGAGGGGACTTTGCAGATTTATATGTGGGCCTGAATTACACGAGTGGTCCCAGTCTAACTTCATGACTCCTTGTAGAGGAAGAAGCAAGATAAACGTGGCACAAGTCAGAGAGATTCAGAGCACAAGAAAGACTCAGCCCACCACTGCTGGTATGGAGATGGCGGCCGATGTGATGTGGAGAGCTGGCAGCAGGAAGGGGTTGAGGGAGGCTTCTGGCTGGCAGACAGGAAAGTAATGGGACCTCAGCCATTCAACTGCAAGGACTGAACTGTGCCGCAAATCTGAATGAGACTGCAAACAGACTCCCAGAATCTCCAAATAAGAGCTCAGGGTGGCCAACAGCTGAATTTTACCCCAGTAAGACCTGGAGAAGAGAAACCAGCCAAGCCTGCCTGGACTTCTGACCTACAGAACTTGAGACAATGAATTTATACTGAGTTTTGCTGTTGAATCTGTGACAACTTCTTATGCCAGTAATAGAAAGCTAATAAACCAAGTTGGAGCCAAATTTAATATTTGTGTATGTACCTTTTCCATAGAGCTAACATTTTAAAAAGAAATACTCAAAGAAATATTCAAAGTGGTGGTACATACTTGTAATCCCAGCTACTGGAAGGCTGAGGCAGGAGGATCACAATTTGAGGCTGACCTGGGCAACTTAGTGTGACTCCATCTCAATATAAAAATGGCTGTTTGATCCCCGGTATCCCTCCCCCACCCCCCCAAAAAAGGGGAGGGGAAGAAAAAGGGCTGGGGATATAGCTCAGTGGTAGAGCAGTTGTGTATTGTTCTTGAGGAAAACTAGGGCATTTAGCCTCATGTCCCTGAAAAAGCCCTACATGTTTCCCAGACTCTTGCCACACTAAGGGGACATCATAAGTTGACAGAGACTAGAATGTAGAATGAGTATTATCTGAGGGACACTGGGAATTGGGTAAAGTAGTATTATATGTAGAGTCTGCCTTCCTGCCAGTATGCTAAATTAGCGAGTCCTTGAAATGTTGGTCATAAAATAGAACAAAGCAAGCTGATGATGTCACTGTGATGTACTTTAATCTTCCTGCAACAGCTGGGTGAGGGACAGAGCACTGTGGAGTCCCGTGGTCCAGGTCCTTTCTGCCTTCTCCTGGTCTCTCTGGCATGAGGTAAGCATGCATTCATTCATGCAACTTAGCCACTATTTGTCACATTTTCTGTGTGCCAGGTACTGCTATAAGGATTTAGGATGCACTAGTGCATAATCTAGACAAAGATCTCTGTTCTCATATTAAGTATAATAGGTAAATACCTTGCTGTTCCACAAATAAACTTCATCTATCTATCATCTATTTATTTTTTGGTACCAGGAATTGAACTTCGGACCTTGTGCTTTCCAGGCAGGTGTGGGGCCACCAAACAAAATCTCTGGCAAATAAACTTTATCTTTTAGCTTGATTCAGCCCCTCCACTGTAGATTAGAATCTATCTTCTCTCTCATATTCAAATATATTATCTAAGAAAGGTCTCCTTGTCTTCAACATCAAATCTTCTTACTATTTATATATCATTCCTATGATCATACAAATGTGCTGTTATTTCTCCCTTAAAAAACAAATTGTAGGGCCGGGGATTTAGCTCAGTGGTTCCGCTGCCTGCCTTGCAAGCACAAGGACCCGAGTTCGATCCCCAGTACCAAAAAAAAACCACACACACAAAAAAACCAAAAAAACACATTGTAGCTGGGCATGGTGGCGCACGCCTGTAATCCCAGCACTCGGAAGGCTGAGGCAGGAGGGTCGCTGTGAGTTGGAAACCAGCCTGGGCTACATAGTGAGTTCCAGGTCAGTCTCAACTACATAGTGAGACCCTGTCTCAAACCCCTCCCCCACACAAAAAACCACATTGTGCTGAGCATGGTGGCGCATGGCCTGTAATCCCAGCACTCAGGAGACGGAGGCAGGAGAATCGCCGTGAGTTTAAGGCCAGCCTTGACTACACAGGGACCTTAAAAAAACCAAAACCAAAACATTGTGACCTTATTTCTCCCTTTAGTACCACTAAGCTTGACCCTGTGAACTGCAAACATATACTAAAACACATAAAAATTGAAAAAAAAAAAAAGAATTCAATCAGTATGGACTCATGAATATTTAATTAAAAATATGTTTTGTGATGTTGGAGATTGAATCCAGGGCTTCAAACATGCTTCTATCACTGATATATCCCAACCCCAGCCTTTATTTATTTATTTAGTTAGTTTGGGTTTCTTTCTTTTGGTACCGGGGATTGAACTCGGTTCCTTGTGCTTGCGAGGCAGGCAGCAGAGCCACTGAGCTAAATCCCCATCCCCCAGCCTTTATTTTGAGACAGGGCCTTGCTAAATTCCCCAGGTTGCCTTTGAACATTTGATCCTGAGTAGCCAGGATTACAGACATGTGAAACTGATCCTGGCCTCATGGATGTTTATTTTGCACTTTGGGTTTTAATCCAATTCTGTATTGTTTATTTTTGTTGCTCAATTTGTTCTAAAAAGTAGTGGAAGGCAAAATATGTGGGTATAGGCGCTGGTAGGGAAGTAGATACAGAGGTGGAAATCTGGAAATTCTATTCTGATTGCTTTGGGTTTGAGTGAAGTAGGAAGCGAGGATATCCACTGAGAGTGAAGATGGGATATTCTGGGGTTTTGCGGTATTCAAAAAATGTATGCAGAGGCTGGGTGTGGTGGCGCATGCCCGTGGGAGGCAAAGGCAGGAGGATTGCTCAGAGTTCAAGGCCAGCCTGAACTACAAAGCAAGTACGCAGAATGAACAAATTAACTTCTCATAGCAAAGCTGTGAGGATTAAGCACTTGGATAACTACTTTTTCTGCTTTTTCTACTTGATGGTTTGACCTCTGGCCTTTGCTAACCCTGCAGGGCCTGACCCTCACAGGCCTAGTCCGTTCCCAGTGACGATTCACAGCTCATCTATAGTGCGCCTTCCACATGCACACCAGCCCATCTAGACACCGCCTCTTAACCACCTGCCTCCTCTGGCTCTCAGATGCCGGGCTCACTGACCCCAGATGCAGGTCCTAGACCAAGTGAGGGACAGTCCCAACCCAGAGGTCACTGAAATTCTTCAGTGTAGTTAATCCTAAATCTGCTCATCCTGCCTTGCCTGTTCTTTTGTGCAAATACGAGAATAAAGGTTCTTGTTGATTTTTTGCTGTGTCGTGGTATGTTGTGCCTTCTGCTTTCAGGGACCTATGAGTATAAAAACACATCCATGAAAATCATCTTGGTCTGCATCATATCTGATTGAAATAAATTTCTTAAGGACTTGGGATGTATCTCAGTAAGGCTCTAGTTTCAACCCCTAGCACCAAAACCCTACAATGTAGGAAAAAATTTTTACCAGCTGCTCGTCAGACAAAGGATTATTATCTAGAATATATGAAGAAATAAAAAATTCAGCCCCCCCAATATAAAGACCTGATTCAAAAATGGGCATCTGAAATGAACAGACATTTCTCAAAGAAGTAAAAGCAGCAAATAAATATATGAAAATATGTTCCACATCACTGGTCATTCAAGAGATGCAGATGAAAACAACACTGAGATTCCACCTCACCCCACGAAGCATGGCTGCTATCAAGAAATCAACCAATAACAAATGTTGGCCGGGTTGTGGGGAGAAAGGAACCCTTCTCCATTGTTGGTGGGAGTGCAGGCTGGTGCAACCACTATGGAAATCAATATGGAGATACCTCAAAGAGCTGGGACTAGAGGTTCCATTTGACCCAGCCATCCCTCTGCTGGGTATCTTTCCAAAAGAATTAAAAGAATAATGTCATAGCGATATATGTGCACCTATGTTTATAGTGGCACAGTTTGTAATAGCTAAAACTTGGAAACAGCCCATTTGCCCATCAGTTGGAGACTGGATAAAGAAGATGTGGTTTTTCTATAAAATGGAATACTACTCAACCATAAAGAATGAGAAATTAGACTCATTCATAGGAAAATAGATACATATTGAGGATATACTCCTAAGTGAAATAAATAAGTCACACATGTAAATACCGAATAGTTTCTCTGGTGTGAAAAACTATAATGGTACATAAGATCCTAATGATATATTTGACAATTGAAATAGGAAGAAAAGGGCTAAAGGGGTAGGGGAAATGGGAAGGGTAGGGGAAAGGTAATAAGGGAAAAGGAAAAAAATACATGAGAAAATGGAAAAATGGAAATAAAGTATTTGTAAATAGGGAAGGAGGGGTGAAGGGAAGGCAGGTACAAGGGGAAAAAATGAGAACCAAGTCCTGTCATGTAAAAGGTACAAGGTCCCAATGATGAATGTAACTGTAGTGCATTCCTAAAATGTACCAATGAACTCAATGAGAAAAAAAAAATCCAAATAAAAACCAAAACACTAAAAATGTAAATCTGATCTGACCATCCTTCCTGTTTTCCAAACCAGCTTTCTTAACAATAAAGGTGATTTTTTTCCTTTTTAATTTAATTTTATTTTTGGTTTTGTGATACAGGATCTTACGTTGCAGACTAGACTAGCTTTGAATCCCTCTGTAGTCAAGGCTGGCTTCGAACTCCCAATCCTCCTGCCTCAGCCTCCTGAGTGCTGGGACTACAGATGTGCGCCATCATATACAGCATTTTTAAAAGAATATTTTCCCCCAGTACTGAGGATTGAGCCCGGAGACTCATACTTGAACTACATCCACAGCCTTTTTCTCTACATGAAAGAGGAAATGACATCCTATATCTGTACTAAATAAAGGATCGCATATACTAAGGGGCTGTCATCTGTGCTTTCACTTTTGGGGAGATTCTCCTTACCTTCCATTTGTGAAGGGCTCAACTTTTCTTTGTGTTGTAATTGGCATTGAAGAGATCTTGGTAAATCTTTATCCCTGAGAAGAGACATAAAAAGATTTAGATTTAATATGGATGTAAAGAAAAGGAGCAAACATCAGTCCCCTTCATCAGTTTTGCCGACTGGAATTTGAGCATCATAATATATACAGAGTCACGCTTCCTGGGGGACCTGTTTCTGTCACTTGCCATTGGACAGGATGGAGAGTGAGCAAATGTTGGCCCTTCAGGTCCACCCCCTACCAGTCATCCTCACCGCCCTTAAAAAAACTCTGAATTCTCCCGACTGAGGGTCAGAGCAATTAAGTAACTTGTCCCAGGTCAGGCTGGAAGTCTTAAATTCTCCTGTGCCTAGAGATATGAATGGTTTCAAAACTGTCATACAAATAGGGCTGTAATGTATATTCTTATAAACTTTTGCATCTATGATTATTGTACAATTTTAATTGCCAAATTTTATTTTTACCACATATGCGAAAGACAGAAAAGGACAGAGAACACTTTCAGAAAGTTTGGAACTCTGCTTGCCCTTTCATTTCCCTAGGAAAGAAAAATCTGGAAAAGGAGGGAAAATACTAATACTCAGGAGACACTCTGTATAGATTTACAGTAACTTGTTTAGGAACATAGAATGTATTATGTAAAACTGGGGTCGCTTATAATAAATTAAATAAGATTTAATGAAATATAAATTAATTGAAACAACCACACTTTAATACATTTATTTTATTTAAAATGCATCAAGTTTTGAAACTAATAGAACTAAATGTTTACAAATTATGGAATCTCTTAGTTTTTTGTGGTTTTATAAAAAGCTGTTGGTTAAAGACAAACTAAAAGAAATAAACATTGATGTTAATAAAATTATTAGGGTTTATTAATTTAGTATCCTCTACAATATTATATCCAACTTATTTTCAAAGAGGGATTGGAGAGGAAAGAAAATGATAAGCATCTATCTATCTATCTATCTATCTATCTATCTATCTATCTATCTATCTATCATCCATCCATCCATTTGCTGTGCTGGAGATGGAACCCCGGGCCTCACCAGTGCTAGACAGACACAGCCCAGCTGTGATAAGCTTTAAAAAGGTACTGTACTCAAATTTCTAACGTGGAGATTTATTTAACTTGCCTTATTTTCTTAGCTTTTATTAATACTGATTTCTTCTTCTGATGTTTCTTCTTCATTGCCTACTTAAAATTCTGAGGACTCAAAAGTTTGCCTTTGCTAAGGCAAATATTTTATATTTGTAAATATAAACAAATTTCTTTAGCATGATGTAAAAGATGCAGCGGATACAGAAATGTGTTCTCAAGAAACAAGAGGAAAGCTTGAGTTTTTTTTTTTTTTGAGGCAGGCAGTGGAACCACTGAGCTAAATCCCTGGCCCTAAAAGCGTGAGTTTTGATCTTGCACTTGTTCTATGCAGTATAAGGTCTTTATTAGTTGCATTACGAAAGGATACTCTTGGCACAATTTCAAACCTTATCTTAGACCAAATACTGGAGAAAACATTTCTATTTTATATAAGTTTCAAGTTGACATAGGAGATCAGGGTATGCAAAGCTGGGAAAGTAGGTGTGACCTGTTAATTACAAGATCCTGGAACACATGGCTGAACAGTTCCCAAAACCCTGAGGACTTCTGGGAATTTGAGCAGGTTTTCAATAGGATGCCTAGACCTGAGGTCATCTTGAGATGTGGGATCCCAGCACCACCTCTCAGGATCCATGTGTAGAAGTCCCTGGGGGTTTCCTTGAGATTTTTTTTTTCTTTTTGAGAAAGAGAAAAGGTGTCACCATAGTTCAGGCTGGACTTGAACTCACTATGTAGCTCAGGTTGGCCTCAAACTCACAGTGATCCTCCTGCCTCAGCCTCCTGAGTGCTGGGATTATAGGCATGCGCTACCACACCTGGCCTTGAAATTTGGACAGTATAAAAGGACACAGATGCTAAGAAGAGCTTGCTATCATGGCTTTCCTCATGATAGCCTGCCTTGCTTTCTTCAGGGTGTACTTTTATTTTGCTTTTTCCTTTTACTTGGCCCAAGCCTGCTCTGCAGAGCCAGGTTCTCCCTCACTCTTGTTCACTTCCACTTTTTCGAATAAACTTTGACACTGTTTTTGCTCATTTCATTAAATTCTTTGCTCAAGATGAGAACCTGGAATCTAACTCCAGAAGGAGAGGTGAGCAACCCAGAAATGACTGCAGAGCCTTTGATTTAGAATAATCCCAGTCCAGCCTTTCATTTAGTGTGTGAATTTCCTCTACACGTGGTCTTTACTTAGCCTTTGCTTTACTTTCAGTGACAAGGAACTCACTGCTTCCAAAGGCGGCTTGTGCCAGCCGTGGTGGCACATTTGTAAGCTCAGCTACTTGGGAGAATGAAGCAAGAGGATCACAAGTTCAAGGTCAGCCTGGGCAGTACAGTATGACTCTGTCTCAAAATAAAAATATGAGAAAGGTGGGGGCTATAGCTCTTCACTCCCTGGGTTCAATCCCTACTGCTGATGTGATGGTACACTCTTGTAATTCCCAGTACAAGGGAGTCTGAGGTAGGAGAATCAGGAGTTTGAGGCCAACCTGGGCTACATAGTGAGTTCAAGGCCAGTTTTAGATACATAACAAGAATATGTCTCAAAACCCAACCCAACCCAAAAGGTAGCTTTTCATGTGGAGTATGGGAACAGTAATGTTAAGGGTTTGGCTGCTATATGATTATCTTACCCATTATTATCTAAAAAGTGTCAGAGATATAATTTTTTTTAGCACTGGAAAACCCAAGAACACTAGCAAAAATATCCTCAAGATGGTAAAGAAAAAGAACAATTGTGAGAAAAGAGGAGAGTTTTTCTTCTTATAATCTGGTAAAATATATCTTGAGCTCTCTCTTTCAGTTCTTACTAGCTGTGTTTTTGGACTTTATTGGAAGCTGCCAGAGATAAAGCTATTGTTAATGATACAAGCAAATCTTCCCCAGTTTTAGTCTGAGGCTAGCCATGACTAATTTACCAGATTGCCTTTTACCTGAAGTATTTGTAGACCCTTTTTCTGTATTTTGACTTGCTTAGGGGTTAGCTCTACCTTAAGATCTTCTGAATGTATTCTCCTTTAAACTGGCACTAAAAATACTTTAGGGTAAAACTGACAACTCCTTGAGCATTCCAGGGTATTCTGTGTCTAGCAAAAAATAGCATTTCATTTGGGAGAACAGGAAGGAAAACTGCTTCTCCAGTAAAAAAAGATGCTTATCACTTTCTTCCTAAAAGCCTTTCTCAATTTAAATGTTTTGTTTTGTAACTAAACTCTCCATAGACAGATATTTGAAGAGTATCCAAACATCTCAAAGCCTTTATGGGTATTTAATGTATCCACTACATTAATAATTCTTTATCATAATATATTAATACTTCCATTACCTACCTCTTGCTGTGGAAGACAGGTACTTTTAGGGGATTCAGTTTAAGTTTTGATTTAATTTCTGAAACTGCCATGTGGCCAGTGATTGGGTCTGGAATGGAGAAGATGCAGTTAAAGGATCAATTCACAGATTGGTTTCTTCATACTCTTTTGCAGCTTTTCCAGCTCAAGGCCTGGAGTTTGAAGTCTAGGGTCTCAAATAACGGAACTATATGCAAATTCATGTTAAGAGTTATGTGCAAAGTTGGAAGGTTATGTGGAAAATTCCCTTTATCTTCCCTAGATCTGAAATCAAGATTTCTTGTTACCACGCCCCCTTTCAAACACTGCAGTGTCACTCTGATCCTATGTAAAAATAGATGGTGAGTGTGATTAGCCAGACACAAAAAGACTGTATGTTCTCACTTAGACGTATGTGGAATCTAAAATAACTCAGTGAGTAGAATGGTAGGGGGAGGGGGAGGTGAGAGTACACTGTCTCAGTTATGCAAGATGAGAGAGTTCTGAAGATTCACTGCACAGCACAGTGATTAGAGATCACACTGCACTGTATACTTGCAATTTGCTGAGAGAGCACAGCCTAAGTATCTTCACTTCCTCTCAATAGCTATGTGAAATGATGATATATTACTTAGCTTGATTGTGTATATACATACATAAAACTACCATGTTGTGTATCATAAAAAGTGGTGCCAAACGAATCAGTGAAAGCATCCTAGAAATATGCAGAAAAAGTTATTTAAAGGCAAAAATTATTAATCAGAACATTTCAAGTTCTAATTGACAAATATTATAGCATTTTAAATATTTGCCTCCTTGTTTCTGCCTTAGGCACCTGACTAATAGTACATAGCTTTTCTCAGGGCTCTTTCAGAGATGCACATCCATGCCCTGTCAGTTCTTCTGGTCCCATAGTCTGTCTGTCTTTCTTTCTTTCTTTTTTTTTTTTTTTGGTTTGTTTGAGACAGGGTCTCCCTATGTAGTTGAGACTGACCTGGAACTCAATATGTAGCCCAGGCTGGTCTCGAACTGACAGCGATCCTCCTGCCTCAGCCTCCCGAGTGCTGGGATTACAGGCGTGCTCCACTGCACCCAGCTCCCATAGTCTTTCTTTCTTTCTTTCTTTCTTTCTTTCTTTCTTTCTTTCTTTCTTTCTTTCTTTCTTTCTTTCTTTCTTTCTTTCTTTTTCTTCTTTTTATTGAGTTTATTGGTACATTTTAGGGATACAGTACAGTTACATCCCACATTGGGATCTTGTACTTTTACATGACAGGACTTGGTTCTCATTTTTTCCCCTTGTCCCTGCCCTCCCTTCACCCCCTCTTCCCCTCCCCATTTACAAACACTTTATTTCTATTTTTTCATTTTCTTATATTTTTTCTTTTCCGTTATTTCCTTTCCCCTACCCTTCCCATGTTCCCTACACCTTTAGCCCTTTTCTTCCTATTTCACATTGTTAACTATCTCATTAGGATCTTGTGTACTATTATAGTTTTTCACACCAGAGAAACTATTCTGTATTTACACATGTGTGACTTATTTATTTCACTTAGGAGTCTATCCTCAATATGTATCCATTTTCCTATGAATGACTCTAGTTTCTCATTCTTTATGGCTGAGTAGTATTCCATTTTATAGAAAAACTACATCGCATAGTCTTTATTAAGAGAGGAGTGGGTGTGGAATAGATGCTGTTTGCTACTCTAGACCCTCTTGAGTTCACTTCTTTACTACAACCATTGCTCGCGTCCTTCCTTTATTCCTTTGTACAGTTTGACAGATGGGACCTGCGGACCACAGGTTGAGGGAAAGGGCTCCACCTTTGTTCGTTTTAGTTATCTCTTTTGAAAGTGGAGTGAACCAGGAGTGTGGTGCATTCCTATAATCCCAGCTCTCGGGAGGCTGAGACAAGAAGACTGAGTTCAAGGCAGCCTAGACAACACAGCAAAATTCTGTCTTTTAGGTGGTCAAAAACAAGAAAAGTGGATTGTTAACAGTAATAATGAACAATAAATACTATTAAACCACGAAGAAACATTTTCTTAATGTCTTCTTAGAACCATTTTCCCCAGGTCTTTACTTCAGAACTCAGAGTACAGTTGTTTCTAAACAACTCAATTATAGATGTTCAAAATCTGAAAACCTACCATAGGGAACTCCAGAGAGCTGGAAATGCAGAGATGTTCAACAAGTTAGGTACTTGAAAGGTGCTTTGAAATCATCCTTATGGTTGAAAATAATCATTCTTTAAAAAAAAAAACCTTCAATCTCTCAAAGACATGAGAGGTTTTTTTTTTTTCTTTTTTAAAAAGGACTCAAAATATCAGGTAAATCCTGATATTTACCTTCTTCTAAGCTGTGCTATTCACCACTTTGGGCCTGCAGCCAGATCAAGAGCCCAACAAAGGGTCTGTTCCATCATGCAACTGTGACCTCATTCATCGCTGTAGCTCAGGCCCAGGGAGAGAAGGACCCTCAAACTCCTTCCTGTGTGGGAGCAAATCCCCAGTACCACAAAACAAACAACAGAAACCCCAAGTCATATCATTAAGTCTAAAAAGAAGGGCCAAAAATCACTCCCATAAGTTTATCAACTTTAATAATGGTAAGAAAAGTGACTTTAAAAAGCGATTAAGAGCCAGGTGTGGTGGTGCATTCCTGTAATCCCAGCACTCAGAAGACGGAGGCAGGAGCAGTGAGTTCAAGGGCAGCCTAGACTACATAGCAAGACCTTGTCTCAAAAAACAAAATAAAAAACAAACAAACAAGTAAACAAAAAGATCGTGTTAAGCAAATACTATAGTATTCATGATCTGACCTTTCTCCTGGCACTGTAAATCCTCTAGCGTAGGAGTTGGGTTCGCTGTGGTTTTGATTTGAGTTTCCCTAATGACTAATGATGTTGAGCACCTTTTTATGTGCTAATGGTCATTTCAATATTTTTTGTGAAGTAATGTCTATTCGTGTCCTTTGTCCATTCAAAAATTTGGGTCACAATGATTTTCCCCGTCCCCCTAGGGACTATATTACAAGACCTGTAGGGGATGCCTGATACCCCAGATAATACCAAACTCTATATAGACTAAGATAAAGTTTAATTTATAAATTAGGAGTAGTAAGAGATTAACAACAGTCATGTTTCTTTATGGGTAACCACAATCTTTGGCACCCAGAGTTTAGTTAGTAATGTACTGAGGCCTCCAAAAGTGTTTCTGGATTGACTTAATGCAGCATTTCTAAAAGTTCCCTATTCTTGGGTCAGGGATTTGGCTCAGTGGTTCCGCTGCCTGCCTCGCCAAGGGCCTGAGTTTGATCACTGGTACCGGGTGAAAAAAAAATTTCCTACTCCTGCTCTGGGAGTTTGTTCATTATGAGTACAATTTGACTTTACCCAGGTCTTCCCAAACTTGGTATGTTAAGAACACAAGCGAAGAAAAAGGACAGGTTTAATTTACAAATTAGTTCAACAAATATTTACTATGGGTTTACTGTGTTAAAGGCTACCAAATTTAAAATGGGGATAATGACAGCTCCTATTAAAAAGAGTTGGTGGGAAGTAAAAAAAAAAAAGTTTTTGTCTTTTAAAAGAGACAAAGCCTCTCTACGTTTCTCAGGCTGGTCTCAAACCCCTGGGTTCAACTCATTTCTTTCTCAGCCTTCCAAGTGGCTATTGTACCCAGCTAGAAGTAACAATTTTAAATTGTCTTTAGTTGGAATAAAAAACATATTACATAAAATTCACCATTCTAACTATTTTTAAGTACTAATAAGTATATTCACTTTGTTGCACCATCAATGTATGGAACATTTTCATCTTGCAAAATGGAAACTCTGTGCTCATTAAATAACATCTCAACATTTCCCCTTCCTTCCAGACCCTGAAAGCCACTATATTTTCTGCTTCTATGCACTGGGCTGTTATAGATACTTATACAAGGAAACCATACAGCATCTGTCCTTTTGTGATTGGCTTATTTCACTGTGCTTTAATGTCCTCGAAGCTCATCCATTTTATTGCATGAGTCAGAGCTTTCTTCCTTTTAAGGGCTGAATTATATTCCTCTAAATGGATATATTGCCTTTGGTTTATACATTCATCTGTCAGTGGACACAACTATGAACAGTGCTACTATAAATGTACAATTATGTACTCCCTGAGTCACTGTAAAGCCCATACAAAATGCCAGAAAATGTCCCTAGGATCAATTTTTACAGCCCGTTTTAAAATTAAGCTCTCTAATTCATGTTTTGCAAACCTCTAAATATTCTGATTTTTTTTTTTTGTACCAGGGATCAAACTCCGGACCTTGCACTTGTGAGACAGGCGGCAGAACCACTGAGCTAAATCCCTGGCCCAATATTCTGATTTTTAAATATTTTATCTTTTTTTATAATATTTGAGTCTATGTGGAGTTCAGTTAGTTTCTTTGCTAATTCAATGAGAATTTAAATTTATCTACATCTTCATTAATGCTTTTTTTTATTACATTAATCTTAACCAGTCTGAAATATTTCACTGTGATTTTGATTTGTATTCTCTAATGACTAATGATGTTGAATATCTTTTTATGTGTTAATGGTCATTTTTATATCTTCTGTAACCCTTTGTCCTTTAAAAAAATCTGGGTTATAGTAATCCTCTTACCCTCAACAGATGTGTTTAAATAACCCTAGTAGATGCCTGATACTACAGTTAGTACCAAATTTTATATATGCCTTTTTTAATACACATACATACCTATGATAAAGTTTAATTTATAAATTAGTCTTAATAAGTGATTAACAACAGTAACTTTTTATTATTAAGTCAAGATCTTTCATCATTTTATTTAAAGGAAGTATTTTATGGCTTCTCTTTGACAAATCTGAATTCAAGTATCATTCTTCTTGTGATTTTGGGTCACTACAAGTAAAACAAGGATTACATAAACATAGCAACGGAATACATTGATAGTTGATATAACCAAGATAGCTACTTAGTGACTAAAGGGTGGGTAATGCAAATAGTATGTAAATAGAGGACAAAAGGATGATTCATGTCCCAAGCAGGATGGGAGATAACAATAGATATTATCAGTACAGCATGCAATTTAAAACTTATAAATTATTTAGTTTTGGGATTTTCCATTTAATATATTGGATTGCAGTTGACTTCAGGTAATGGGTACTGTGGAAAGCAAAACTACAGGTAAGGGAGGAATAATTTTTATTGTTGAGTTGTAAGGGCTCTTGATATATTTTAGATACTAAATTCTTATTGGTAATATTGTCTTCTTTCCTGGACATTGTTTTTTCACTTTCTATTTCCTTTCAACTACAAAAGTTATTCTCACAATTTTAAAGCTAAAAGGGAACAGATAGATAAAAGAGTGAATAGATCATCAACCAGATTTACTCCTTTTATTTTATTGAATTAATGGATTTAATGGCAGAGCGAGGAATACCTACTTTGTAAACTGCACTGTGCTACCAAACAGATTACAATGTGATCAGGGGTTAAAAGACAGAAAATGAAGCCCTTAGCAACAGTGTATCTGATAATCCACGTGGTGCAGGGTGACACGGACTGTAAAGGCAAAAGGGACTTAGGACAATGGAGCATTCATGGTGTCCAGTAACCTTAAGAGACAGATGGTAGGACTGACAAGACAATTAGGGAAAACAATTAAGGGATTAAAGGCTATAAATCACAGTAGTAACTCCTATTTTTTTTTCCAGTGCTGGAGAGTGAACCTAGGGCCTTGACACTGAGTTACCTTATAAATTACCTTTTTATTTTCATTTTGAGAAAGTCTTGCTAAGTTGCCTGGGCGGATGTCAAATTTGTGGTCCTCCTGCCTCAGCCCCCCAGAGTGCTGGGATTAAGTGTGTGTCACTCTGCTGGATCCCTAACAATGCTTTTTTATTAGTTTTCACATTACCTTTGATATCACTGGCAGTTTTTATTAACTTACCCAGGGTCATCATTCTATTTGCTCAAGGACTGAATTAAAAGTCTTTTTTTTTTTGGTACTGGAGATTGAACTTAGGATCTTGTATAAATTTCTGAAGTTATGGAAAGTAGACTAGAAGGGATGCACTTTATCTTATTTTCCCCAGATAAATGGGAAACTGAGAGAAAAACGTCAAAGTTATATGCAATTATCCATCTTAATTCATAAGCTTCTTTTGCCTTTAATGTATTGAACTCCAAAGACAAAAAAATTGAAAATTATTAGAAACAGAATTGAAATCAAGCCTATTCTTTTATAATTTATTCCTTTTTTTTCTTTCAAAATGTCGGGTAGTTTTGTTTTCTAAACAATAGGAGAATAAATATAGGTTGATTCAGATACTTTTTACTTCTCATCCCATACACAGTCTTTCTCTCTCCTCTTTTTCCCTATTGCTTGGCTCTTCTCCCTTGTTAGATATTAGTTAGCTAGAGGTATCCTATACCATTTTCGGATACTGCGTGTGGCGCTATTCTGGATAGGAATGTGACATAGAAGATTTCTTTCCCAGATAAAAGGTAGACTTAATTTGTACAAGGTAAGGGTCTATTAGAGTGTCTATATTCCTACTGAGTGCAGTTTTAGACATTCTCACATATAACTTTGCAACCCAAGCACAAGTGGCATTCTCAATGTTTACTTTTCTTTTTTTTTTTGTACTGGGGATCGAACTCCCTCCTCGTGCCCACTGCCTACATTCAGCACAGAACTAGGTGGCTCGTTTTACTTTCTGTACCTGCCAACATGATTGGGGTACACCTCAGTTTAATGGACAATTGCCAGGGTCTAGAGTATGTGCTCATAGGCCAAAGCCAGGCAGAGAAAGCAGTGACCCGGGGAGCACAGAATGCCACGGAGACTGGGAATGGCTGGAGTGAATACAGCCCTAGGGAGAACACCACTGACAAACAGTGCTGAGCAGGAAAGGCTGGGCAGGTTCCGCTCTTCACACCCAAAAATGTGAGTGCGGAAACAAAACAGGACTCAGTAGGGATTTGCTGTCTCTCCCCCACACCTGGTGGATTGCAATACTGCAGACCCTGGAAAGAAACTACTCATTAAGAAAGACGAAGGAATATTTTGGACTTGTTTCTCTTTTTTTTTTCCTGCTTTCTATGTTTCAGGAGGAAAAGAAAGAACAGGGCCTGGGATTTAGCTCAGTGGTTCTGGTGCCTGCCTTGCAAGCGCATGGGCCTGAGTTTGATTCTAAAAAAAAAAAAAAAAAAAAAAAAAGAAGAAGAACAATACTAATTTTATACTGTATTGTATCATAAATTTTCACTCACGTGTAATCTTCTTCAGGCCCCCCATTATTGAGTCCACAGTAAACTTTCCTTTTCCTGAAGAACAGTTTGGTTCAGATTCAGAGGAAGCCACATAAAAACTCGTTAACAGTTGATAAAATTGTGAAGTTATTAAAAATAACAGACTGAAACTTCCAAGAGTTAGCTGTGGAATTTAAATTTATTTTTTTCTCAGCTGAGCATGATAATATAAAAGACATTGTTTTAGGGACATAAATATTTCTACTTCAGTATAGTTTCTCTTTTATGTATTTTAAGGAATGTCTTGATATTCCATGGGTCCTAAATGGGAAAAAGATATTACAAACACAACCAAATCTCAAATCTAGCAGCACCTTTTACCCACTCAGACTGGCAATATTTTTAAAAAGTGAAGAAATGAAGAGAAATATGTTGGCAAATGCTTAGAGCTGGAAGAAGGAAAGACCAGCTCTGAGTTTGTTCTGACGTATTTTGTTTTTTGAGAACCAACATATTTGTGCTTGTTATCATGAATATACAAAGTATATTTCTCTGACCAGAATAATCTTTCCCATGTTTTTCTTCAGTCTTGGCTAAATCTCCCCTTATTAACTTAAGCACACATGTGCCACATTATAGCAAAATTATTTTGCTTATGTGCTTATTCCTCTATTTGACTATAAGATCTTTTGAGGAGACAAAGGCTGTGACTCATTCATTTTTGCATCCTTAACCATTTGATACAGAACACAGAACATAGCCGGTATCTTTTCTTTAACCAGTTAATAATATGTAGGGTTGCTGGGTGTGGTGGTGCACGCCTGTAATCCCAGCACTCTGGAAGCTGAGGCAGGAGGATCGCTGTGAGTTCAAGACCAGCCTGGGCTATATAGTGAGTTCCAGGTCAGCCTCAACTACATAGTGAGATGAGACCCTGACTCAAAAAAACCAAAAAGAAAAAAAAAATGTGGGGTAACCATGTAAGCTGGACCTAAGGAAGTGAACAAAAAGGGATCAGTGAATATTGGAGGATATTAATGGAAATGTAGAGAAGACAGAGTCAGAAAAATAGAGCGTAGTTGCTCCTGAGAAGTTAATAGGAAACTGGGAGATTTATTTCTGCCTTTATATATTTTTCATTGTATTTTGTTTACTCCTAGCGATGTTGTCCAGGCTGACCTTGAATTCTGGGGTGAAGTGACTCTCCTACTTCACGCTCCTTAGTAGCTGTGACTATGGCTGTGTGTGTCACCACATCCAAATGTGGTTATTTGTTAAACTGAGAAGCAAAAGTTATACATATTTATAATGTACAACATGATGTTTTAAAAATTACTTTTATTTTTTGGTTCTTGTGAAATAAAATCTTGCTGTGTAGTCCAGGCCAGCCATGAACTCGCGATGCATCCTAGGCTGGCACTGAACTTGTGGCAATCTTCCTGCCTCAGCCTCTTGAGGGCTGGGATTGCAGGTGTGCACTACCACACCCAGCAAAAATTACTAAAGTCAACAAATGAAAATCGCGTATATTTATGACCTACAACATGATATTTTAATATATGTATGGATTGTGGAATGGTCAGATTAATCTAATCTATGCATTATCTCACATACTTTTTTGTGGTGAGAGTGCTTAGAATCTGCTCTTGCAATTTTCAAGTATACAATACTTTGTTAACTATAGTTATATGATATAAATAAATCTCTTAAACTCACTCCTCTTATATAATTTTTTTTCAATACTGGGGATTGAACTCAGGGCCTCACACATTCTAGGCAAGCATTCTGACACTGAGTTACATCTCCAGCTCATCTAACTGAAATATATGTATATGTGTGTGTGTGTGTGTGTGTGTGTTTGAGACAGGGTCTCACTATGTAGTTCAGACTGGCCTTGAACTCACTGTGTAGCCTAAACTGGCCTTGAACTAGTGATGATCCTCCTGCCTCTGCCTCCCAAGTGCTGGGATTACAGGTGTGCACCCCCACACCCAGTTAAATTTTATATTCCTTGAGCCACATCTCTCCAGTCTCACCTCTCCTCCAACCCTTGATAACCACCATTTCACTCTCTGCATCTAAGAGTTCATCTTTTTAGATACCACATATAAGTAAGATTATTTGGTGTTTGTCTCTCTGTGTCTGGCTTATTTTACTTAAAATCTTCTAAGTTCATCCATGTTATAAATGACAACATTTCTTTCTTTTTTAAGGATAGTTTTCCAATACGTATCATTTTAAAAAATCCATTCATCCATTAATGAACATTTAGGTTGATTTTGGATCCTGGATACTGGCAACTTCAGTACAACAAACATGGGTATATAGATATTTCTTTGACATATTGATTTCATATCCTTTGGATATACCCAAGGGTATATCTGGGATTTCTGGGTCATATGGTAGCTCCATTTTTAATTTTTTGAGGGACTTGTATACTGTTTTCCACAATGGTTGTAGTAATTTCCATTCCCAACAACATTGTAACAGGAGAAACCTGGGGATTTAAAATACCATATCCAGGCCAGAGCAGTACCTGCAAGAGAAAGGACAATAGAGAAAGGTAGAAAAAGAGTAGCTGTAGGACAGGTGGACAGAAGGCTTTTGCCACCAGAAAGGAGAAAGCACAGGAGAGGAACCTGAGGGGCATCCTCAGGAAATCAGGTAAGGAAGTAATTTTTTTAAAAGCATGCAAATAAACTTGATAGTAGAAACTCAGGGGAAGAAAGCAGGCTTATTAGGAAAGGGCGGGCACGTTTGGGGAGGGACAGTTTTAGATTCACTGTAAGGCAAGTACACTTACTTTTTTAGTTCTGCAAAACATTACATACATTAGTTTTTGTTGTTATTGTGTTTTTGTTTCAGTACAAGGGATCTAACTCAGGACCTTCCACTTGAGAGGCAGGTATGTTACCACTGAGCTAAATCCCTAGCCCAACACACTTTTGTTTGTTTTTTGCTTTGTTTTTTAGTACCAGGGATCGAACTTGGGCCCTTGCTGCTTGCAAGGCAGGTGCTGGAACCACTAAATCCCCAGCCCTAGTTTTGATACTAACAAAATTTATCTCTTCCCTCTCCTCCAGAAGTCTGAATAGTTTATTCTGTCCATCCCTAGGAAGAAAAGGCCAGAACTTGAGGCATAGAAATTGAATAAAAATTCCCCAAATTATAAATAGTATAGAATATATAAGGATAAAGGTATCTGTTCAGTTTAAAGCAGTTTCAGTAAAACAAATTACCCACCCAGCCTTGAGTTGGAGAATGTTGGGATTATGAAAATGAAATTTTAGAAACATAGTAGGAGAAATGAAAAGCAGAGACTGAAGATTCAAAGAACACCCAAACCACTCATGAGTTCAGAGAAGTGTACATTTCCCTACCTGAGTACCTAAGCATAAGACTGATGCCCAATTCCCCACATACAAAGGATGAGCAAGCTGGAGGGTTTAGGGACATCTTTTAGAGAAGGGAATCGTTTCCCAGACATGGGGACAACACACATAGTTGTTTCAGAACCAGACACCTGTTGAACTTTCAAATCAGCCTGTGCAGCAGAACGGAGCATGTTCAGAAGAAGGTAAAGGAGGCTGGAGATGCACGGTGTTACTATTGTGAAAGGTCTTCTAAACAAACACAGTGTTTATATAAACTTTTAAGCCATGAGCGTGGCATAATTATATTGAGGTTTTAGAACAACATATTTAGGGTTAGATAATCACATTTAGGTTTTCAAGCCTGGAAGGATGCGGATAGTGAAAGAGTTGGAAGGAAGTGTGCCTGAAAGCAGCAAGATGAGCTGAGAGGCTGCTACACTCATCCAGGTAATTTCAGTAGAAAAGATGATGTTGATCAGTATTAGGGTATATAAAATATGAGAAAAAAGTGGTGGACAAGGCGGAACTGTGTAAGAGGACAAACTAATAGAACTAGATAAATACATGTGGGAGGTTGAGAGAGGGGAAAACCAAGATTATGCTTAAGAGTTTGGTGTAAGCACCTGAATTTGCATCTGTTCATTGAAAAAAGAAACACAGAGGGAGTTTTCTGGAGATGGGGAGATAACCCAGAGATGAAGAGACTGGTTTCTAGACTGGGGATGTAATTCTGTGGTAGAGGCCTGGGTTTAATCCCTAGAGCCACAAAAGAAAAATTCTGTTCATTGAAAAAAGAAACACAGAGGGAGTTTTCTGGAGATGGGGAGATAACCCAGAGATGCAGAGACTGGTTTCTAGACTGGGGATGTAATTCTGTGGTACAGACCTGGGTTTAATCCCTAGAGCCACAAAGGAAAAAAATAAAAATTAAGAAACTTATTTCCTTGTTCTCAGGGAACCAGAAGCATCTGAAAGACAATAAAAGGACAAGGCAGCATATTCCAAGTCTCTAATGAGTTGTACCAACGAAGCCCGCAAGAATGTGGAGGAGGAGGCGTGGACCTTTGACAGGGATGCAGAGTGACAGGAATCAAGGAACGCCACAGCGAGCACGGGGCAGGCAGTGAAATGGGGTTTCATGCCCACCCTTTGGGATAGCTGGAGAGGGAAGGGAGGAGAAGCATTGTAGACAGGGGAAATTGTGTTAACTGAGGGACCAAAGTAGGAAGGAACAAGGCAGTTTGAGGGAACTGTGGGTCGTTCCATTGGTTGGGAGCATAACACAAGGCAGTGGAGGAGGACCCTGAGGAGAACGTGGGGAGGGTGGCGGAGTGTTTTCTTCATGACTGGGGTCCAACCTAGGACCTTGCAAGTGCCCTGTGAGTGAGCTACATCTCCAGCCAGGACACTGTGATATTAAATTTAAGACTGATAGAACTGAGAGAAATTGTCTGGCAATATCATTAAAATGTTATGGTAAAAATGCTATGCTCCAATATGCTTAGATAATTTTTTTTATCAGAACAACAGAGAGTAGTAGAAATTTTTAAAGTAGTTATATAACACAAGGGCCGGGAGCGGAGTCGTGTGACTCGAGTCCATTAAAATCTCAACAAAGAAGCAGAGCCAACTGACTCCAAACTTCTCTTGCTTCTCCCTCATGTCTCTCCCTAATGCTCATTTTTATTTTTAAATTTTAAT